AAGAATTGATGCTTTTGAACTGTGGTGTTGGAGAAGACTCTTGAGAGTCCCTTGGACTGCAAGGAGATCCAGCCAGTCCATCCTAAAGGAGAGCAGTCCTGAATATTCATTGGAAGGACTGATGCTGAAGCTGAAACTCCAATACTTTGGCCATCTGATGCAAAGAACTGACTCATTGGAAAAGACACTGATGCTGAGAAAGATTGAAGGTAGGAGGAGAAGGGGATGACAGAGGATGAGATGGTTAGATGGTATCACCGACTCGATGGACATGAGTTTGAACAAGCTCCGGGAGTTGCTGATTGACAGGGAGGCCTGGAGTGCTGCAGTCCATGGGGTTGCAAACTATCGGACATGACTGAGCAACAAATTGAACTGACTGAATGGCCTACTGGTTTTTAGAGCTTAGTATGTAATATATTAATACATGTTGAAAGATCTTCCTGATTTTTGTAGTTGTTGCTTGTTAAATCCCAAATACATAATGCCACCGAGAAAGTAACGTTTTATAAGAATCTTCTCCAAAATGTTCAAAGAATTTGCATATAGCTCTGTGGATGATACAACAAAAATGGGCAGTGAAGCCCTGAAGCCCATCTCATTCCAGAAAAAAGAGCTCAGGTTTGAGTTTTTGTTGGTATCGCAAAGAAGAAATTCTGACACTGTTTAAAGTGAAATAGTAGGATTTTATTCGGGGTTACTGACATAGTTGGCAATACTATTGCAGTTGAGATGAGTTTTCTGGCTTAGTACAGCAAAAACAAGTTGGGGGATCATCGCTTACACTGAGTGAGGGGGTCAGTGGATGGAATACTAAGAGGAGACATGAAGGGTAGAAGGATTCTTGCTGATGGCAATCAATGGTTTGATTGATATATAAGATAGGGGATTCTCTCTAACCTGACTTAGCAGAATTCTTGCTACAACAGGGCTTGGCGGTCTTGGCACCAGAGTAAGTGTGTGTATGTGTCCAAGGTAGAGAAGAGGGTTCAGAGGAGCTTGACTCAAATTTGGTGAAGGAGATGGTTTTGTCACTTTTCAGACTGTCCTTTAGACATGAGTTGCCGGCAGGGAAAGAGTTCTCCAAGTTTTTGTCACCATTCCTGTATTTACTTGTGACTTTGACTTCTGTCTGCCATGGAGAGGCTACAGTGGAACTGTGTATCAGTCAATATATGAAATACAGTATGACAGTTGTGTCTTTGAAGAGTAATTGTGGCAGACAACTCAAGACCAGAGAAGTCTAGTCAAAGGAGAACATTTGATTCACATATTGGAAGAGATATCAGGATTTTTTGTTTTTACAAAATATTCTTCTTGTATATAAATTTAACATACTTTAAGGTAAGAGTGACATTTTTAGCTCACACTGACTGCCATTCTGCTCTTAAGTTTTCTGAGAAAATGGCTGGCTCAAATGAAATGGTGAAGAGGGTATCAGGAAGGAGAAGAATACTAGGGACACTGTTGGTAACTTGCCTTCTTACAAAAAAGTATTAAGACAGAGTATGAGATAACCAAAGAGGAATATTATGCTAGGAGTTGAGTCTCTTTGAGCCCCACTGTTCTTGTGCAGTTTTGACTAGGTTTTTCCTGGGAAAATGCCAACCAACAGTGACCCACCTGAATTCTTGACTTTGAACTCCCAGCCCCATGATCTCAATTACTGTCATGGGGCCTACCTTTGTAGAAGTCCACAGTTGCTAACATGACTTAGTCCAGTTCAGTTTAGTCACTCAGCCGTGTCCAACTTTCTGTGACCCCATGGACTGCAGCACGCCAGGCCTCCCTGTCCATCACCAACTCCCGGAGCTTCTTCAAACTCATGTCCATTGAGTTGGTGATGCCATCCTCTGTCGTCCTCATCTATTCTTGCTTTCAATCTTTCCCAGCATCAGGGTGTTTTCAGATGAGTCAGTTCTTCCCATCAGGTGGCTAAAGTACTGGAGTTTCAGCTTCAACATCAGTCC